AAAAATATCCACCAAGACTTTTTCCAAATATTGATAAAAGCAAAGGAAATTACGAAAGTTTACACTGTGTCACAGATAGACCTTTATTGTAAAATATCATAATCATTTTGTAAAATATACATCCTACATCATTAATCATATTGATTCAATACTAGACATTTTATGATAGTCACATGTGAATACATTTCCTTCCATTGCGCAATCAAACAATCGGAAATTTCATGACTTGACGAGAACAGGATGGAATTTAATTTAGGACAACACTCGAGAAATGTACGACATGTATCAGCTGTGAGATCCTGAACGCCTATCAAATCCAAATATTTCAAATTTTTACACGACGTCAGTGTTTTCAAGTCATCATTAGTGAGCCCTTCTAAATTACGTAAAAAGACTATTTCCAAATATTGACAAGAGGAGAGGAAATTACGAAAGTTTACACCGTGTCTAGTTTTATAGCCGCTGTAAATAAAACAAAAATCATATTACAGATCATCATATAAAAAGAAAAACAGTATTTCAAGATGAATAAAGCAAATATCTTCAAATTCTAACTAAAAAATGTGGGTTCTATAGAAAGTTAAAATATTGTAGAAGAGCATGAAACACGTACCACCCAGTAAAATCTATTACACGAAGATTCTTACATCCAGACAATTCAACGAAATATCGCGATGTAGAATCTGTATTACATAAATGAAAATTTACTTCCTCTAGATTTGGACAATTTTTTCTCAATTCCGCGGAGACCTCCCCTAAATCAATTTTCTCACGGCAACCTTTTATAGACAAGCGACGTAATCGACGATTAGCCTGTATTATTTTGCATAGAGTAGAAGTTGTTATGCTACTACCAGGCAAATATAAATTCTCCAGAAACTGCAAATTTGCGAGATGTGAATATCCATGTTCTGTTTCGCATTCGAGGAAAATTAATTCTAAAAACAAAAAAATATTTGTCCAGATAACAAGTTGACGTAATTTGTCATAATTTAAATCTAATTTTAACAAAAATGATGTCAAGATAACGACAAGTAATGTCAACTTGCTGGATGTATTAATATGTATTATTATGTATATATAAAATTTGCAAGTGTTTTGGTACAGATATTTGAGATATATCACGGAGTTTTCATACCTTTCAAATTTTTACATTTTCTTGAAATTTGATGAACAATGAAATCAGTAGTGAAACATAGAGGTTGAAACAAGCTTAAGTGCGTTAAAAAGTTGCCATGTGACTCAAGAAGATCGCAGATTTCCGTAGTGTTAAAATTGAAAAAATGGAGTTTCAACTTCCTTGCATATTTATATTTTGATTGCAAAAGTTTTAATAAATGTTCTCTAGAATTTTTACTTCTAATATACTCTAAAGCATCATCCTTTGTAAAATTCGCATATAACAGAGGATCTCGTGCTAATTGATTAAAATATTTATTTACTCTATACATACGACACAAAGATTTTATATCCAAGTATCTCAGTATATTCAGTATTATTTCAATCTGTAAAGATATATGTAATATGAAATTTTAATAAATAGATTAATGTTACGGAGTCATTACGAGATAAATTCTTTTCAGAATACTTTACAGGAAGTACAGAAAGATTGCCACATGGTAGTTCCTCGGGTTTACTTTTCTCAGTTTCAGAATACTTTACAGGAAGTACGGAAAGATTACCACATGGTAGTTCCTCGGGTTTATTTTTCTCGATTGACAAAAATTTGAAAATTCGACAAAATAAATGTATAAGAATGGCCAGCATCTTGTTAATTACTTGATATTAAAAATACTGTTATTTATCGCTTTTAATATTTTTCTTTCTTTCTGTTCTGGACTTAGAGCCTGTTTTATCTCACTTTCATATGATGTGATGTGCATGCAGATGATGCACAGGCATGTGGGATCTAGATTTTAATACCTATTCCAAACAGCAAATTTTTGAGGAAGTTCTATGGGTAAGAATGCTCACGTGGTTTGCCAAGCTATCAAGCGGAGATCTATAAAAATATTTCTGTCAGGAATCGAAGCCTGGATCTCTGGTGTAGTGAATAATGTGCGCTGTCCACTATGCTACGCTCTCTCTCTGCTTTTAATATTCAAAATAACTAATTGATCTTCCAACTAAATCCAATTAAATTTCTGTAAGGGAGTAATGCAGTAATGTTAATAGATCTGATTAAATTGTATTTATAGATTCATTCTTTTAAAAGTATTAATTTTGATATATCAAATAAGTTAAGCATAATGGAAATATAAAAATAATTATATATATAAAATTTAATAATTTTGAAACAAATATATGTATTTTAAATATATAATATTTAAATATATTATTTTATTTCTGTATTAATTGCAATTTTTCTCAAATAATTGAATGCAAATTTAAAAATTAAGTAACTGTTTAGAAAGTTATTATCTTTTTTAGAGGAAAGAATGGTAAAATAATTTATATTAGTTATGTGCTTTTTTTCTCCTCCTTCTTTTTTATGTAACCTAAATACTTGCCACGTGTTTTCTGGCAAGCTTTTTTTTACGTTGCTCTCGTTATTTTTTTGCATCTACCCTTATAGAAGTCTAATATTAGAAGATTAGATAATAATTGATCTTATTTTGAATATCAAATACATTGAACAACAGTATAATAATTTTTCTATTGTAGACACTTTACTGAATAAAAAGCACTTAGTTAAGCCTTATAAAGCCTTATAAAGTCAACAATGCTAGAAATCGATTCAAGATTTCAAAAAATCGATCGGAGGAAAAATCGAATGCAGTGCCAATTTCGGTCAACTGATCGATAGGATAGTCAACTTTTTCATCGTTTTGAAATTTTGAATTTTTCCCTAGCATTGAAGACAAAACTAGGTTTCTTAGTTTGTTTCTTATAGCTCCACTTTCTGCACTACAATTTTTTGTAATATACAAAAGGTATACTAAAATACTCTTTTGATAGAAATATGTAAGGAAATCTTTGTCAGGATCTATGTCCCAAACAAGTTTACACACTTACAGAAATTGAATTTAATACTGAACAGTATAATACTGGAAATTATATATTAAAAGCATTGTTGTTCAGTGCTTTTAATATTCCAAATAAGTAATTAATCTATTTTCCAGTATTAAATTTCTATAAGAGAGATTTCTATCTATGAATAAAAATAACGAATAAAAAATTTACATTTTTAAAAATTTACATTTTTAAAAATTTACATTTTTAAAAATTTACATTTTTCACAAATATCATGAATACAATGCTGAAATATAATTATAAAGTAATAACCAACTTGAGAAGATATCAGTAATAGTATAATAAATATATATCAGTAATAGTATATTAAACTTATATATTTTTATAATCAAATATATATATATTTTTTATTTAGAGAGGAGAGAAGGAAAAGAGGGGGAAGACAGAGAGAGAGAGAGAGAGAGAGAGAGAG